CTAATTTCTTAGTTGTTAAATTAGATAACAATTACTCTCTTTGTTTGGAAGTATAATTAAGCTATTTCACATTCTCTTCTTGAGTATTTATTCTAATACCGATCTTAAAACTCCTTGTAGAATTCGACCCTGACTCAAGTTAGGTATTATAATTGCAACGATCATTTCCTACTTATTATTAAGTGTAGATTGGACTTCATTAATTTTTGGCGCCGTTGCCGGGGAGCTTTTACGGTGTTAGCTAGATACTTGATTTTGTTTCTCGAAATATCTTCTTTACTTTTGTGATTCTAATTTGTTGAAGTGATCGTAGGTACCTGATGGCGAACAACGAACTTGAATATTTGCTATTGGGAGAGGTGGATGGCGAGAGGAGCAACTTGATGAAATGCCTCAAGCTCCATAACAAAATCACCGAGGCCGTGGTCAACAAGACAATGTGCCTCCACCTCCCCCACCTCCACCACCACCATAAACAGGCGCGGCGCAACATCGGATTTTCCCAATGAAGCAAGTTCCATAGTCCCCCCTCGCATTAGGGCAGGAAATTTTCAAATTACCAATGTGATGCTTATTTTGCTTGAGCAGCGAGGTTATTTCACCAGGACGCCAGGTCAAAATGCTTACAAACACTTAAAGGGTTTTGTAGATATGTGTTGGGGGAGCAAACAAAAAAATATTTCTGAAGATGATTTGAGGTTAAGGCTTTTTCCCTTTTCACTAAGGGGAAAGGCTTTGGATTGGTTGGAACGCTTGCCTAATCATTCTATCCATACTTGGAATGAATTGGCGGCTAAGTTTATTTCAAAGTTTTTCTCTCTTGGGCACATGGCTACTCTTCGAGATGAAATATTGGCTTTCAAGCAATAGCCCAATGAACTTTTGCATGAAATTTGGGATCATTATCGGACAATGGTGAAGGAGTGCCTGAACAATGATATGACCAACAAGATGATCCAACAAACTATCTACCGTGGTATTAATACTATGAACCAATGTGTTGTCAATCAATTGGACGGAGGCAACTTTATGACAACACCTTATGCGGAGGCATGTAAGATTCTTGATGAGATGGAGGAAACTTCTTTGGCTTGGAAATCCCAAGCTAATGTTCCCCAAGGTGATCCCAACATGATTCATCTTCATAAAGAGTTGCAAGACCATAGACAAGCCATTTCCAAATTGACAAGTACTATGACCCAGCTTGCTAAGGCCCAATTTAATCAAGTACAAGCTCCTAAGCAAGTCATGCTATGGAAGGAATAAATGATTTGGTCAACAAGAATAGGATCAAGGGTCCACAATTTCAATCCCGAGTGAAGAATTATGCACGAGATGATGGTAGCTTCGATCAAGATGATTCCTATTAAGAGCAAGAAAAAGAGGTACAATTTGTGAATAATTACCAAGGGCAATTGAGCAATTTCCAAGGCTCCAATCAAAACCAATGGAGTTCTTAAAATAAACAAGGCAATTAGGGTTCCAACAATGAAGGAAATTGGCACAACAACAACAACAACCAAGGAAATTGGGGAGGTAATAATCAAGAAAATTGGGGAAACAATAACAACCATGGAAATTGCGGATTGGGTTTTCAAAGGCCCCAAATGTACTAACAACCTAGCAACCCACCTCCTTATCTCTACCACGGTTCAAGTTCTTTAAATAATGAAATAAGCCGTATTGAAAATATGCTCAAGCAAATGATGGAGAAGAATGCGGATTAGGATGCCCGACTTGCCTCACGTCCCACATATATTCATAATCTTGAAATTCAAATGGGGAAAATATCTCAAGCTCTTAATACTCATCCTAAGGGTGAACTACCAAGTGACACAGTGGTAAACCCAAAAGGAGGTAACAACACGGGGCATGCCATGGCAGTTATCACAAGAAGTGGAAGAGGCAGGAATGCACCCACCTCAAATGAAAGGAAATTTGTGGATGATGACCAAGTGATCCAAGAGGCGGAAATCCCAAGAAATAATGTTCAAGCACATGATGAGGTTCGGATTGATATCAGTGCATAAGGCTAAGGCACCTGTGCCTAAGCCTCCACCTCCTTACCCTCAAATACTTGTCAAGAAAAATGGTGAGAATCAACTCAAGAAGTTCATTCAAATGATGAAATATCTCTCTATTAATATGCAATTGGTAGAAGCTTTAGAACAAATGCTCAGTTATGCCAAGTTTATGAAAGACCTTTTGAACAAGAAGAGGTCGATTAATTTTGAAACTATCAAAGTCACTCATCAAGTGAGTGCAAATGTTCATTCCATGGCTCCTAAGTTGGAGGATCTTGGTACTTTCACGATTCCTTGTACTATTGGGAGTGTCGAGTTTGCTAAAGCTCTTTATGATCTTTGGGCGCGTATACACTTGATGCACAACTTGGTGTTTAAAACTATGGGAATTGGGAAACCAAGACCTACATCTATGGGTTGCAAATGGACAATTGTACCATGAAGAGGCTATTGGGAGTGATTGAGGACGTGTTGGTCCAAGTTGATAACTTTATTCTTCCCGCGGACTTTGTTACTCTAGATTGTGAGGTTGATTATGAAGTGTCTATTATTCTTGGGAGGCCTTTTCTTGCTACGGGTAAGGCTCTTTGTGATGTGAAAGCCGTCGAACTCACTTTTCGGGTTGGTGATGAACAAGTGGTATTCAATGTGTGCAAGTCTATGCGGAAACCAAATAGCAATGAAGTGTATTCTTTTGTAGACGTGGTGACCGATGTTATTATTGATGATACAAGTGCTACAATCAATGTTGGTGATATGTTGGAAGCCGTTTTGCTCAACTTTTATGATGGTGAAATGGATGGTTTCATGAAATGTGTGAACTCTTTGCAAGAAATGGATTCGTACAACTATGCACCCCGTAAATTATCTTTGGATCTTAAGAATAGGAAGACTCCTCCTACAAAGCCTTCTATTGAAGAGCCACCTACTTTGGAGTTGAAACCATTGCCACCACAACTTTGGTATGAATTTCTCGGGCCTTGTTCTATTTTACCGGTTATTCTTTCCTATTGTTTGACTAATGTGCATGTTGATTCCACATTGGCATTGTTGCAAAAGAGGAAGAAGGCAATTGGGTGGACTTTGGCGGATATTCGGGGTATAAGCCCCGCATTTTGTATGCATAAGATCAAGTTGTAGGATGGTACTAAACCGTCCATTGAACATCAAAGAAGATTTAATGAATCTATGTGAGAAGTGGTCGAAAAGGAGACTATCAAGTGGTTGGATGTTGGGGTTGTCTACCCCATTTTCGATAGTTCATAGACCTCTCCAGTTCAATGTGTCCCAAAGAAGGGGGCATGAAGGTTGTTACCAATGAGAAGAATGAGTTGATTACTACAAGAACAGTCACCAGTTTGAGAGTTTGTATGGATTATGGTAAGCTCAAAAAAGGAAAAAAGAAGGATCACTTTCCCCTTCCTTTCATGGATCAAGTGCTTGATAGTTGGTAGGTCGTGCTTTGTATTATTTTCTTGATGGGTACTCAGGCTACAACCAAATTCTTATTGCTCTAGAATATCAAGAGAAAACCACTTTACATGTCCATATGGTACTTTCACTTCCAAACGGATGCCTTTTGGGTTGTACAATGCACCAGCGACTTTTCAATGGTGTATGATGGCTATTTTCATGGACATGGTGGAAGACTACCTTAAGGTCTTCATGGATGACTCTTCGGTGGTTGGAGACTCTTTTGATGATTGTCTTGCAAATTTGGACGAAGTGTTGGCTAGATGTGAGGAAACAAATTTATTGCTCAATTGGGAGAAATGTTATTTCATGGTTGAGGAAGACTCCTTGGCCATAATATTTCAAAGAATGGTATAGAAGTTGACAAGGCGAAGATTGAGGTTATTTCTAGCTTCCACCCCCACCTCGATGAAGGGTGTGTGCGATGTTTCTTGGGCCATGCGGGTTTCTACCGGCGCTTTATTAAGGAATCTCTAAAGTAGTGAATCTATTGTGCAAGCTCCTTGAGAAGGATGCTAAGTTTCATTTCAATGATGATTGTATCAGAGATTTTGAACAATTGAAGCTCAAGTTGACAACTACTCATATCATTACCTCTCCAAATTGGAGTTTGTCATTCGAGCTAATATGTGATGTAAGTGATGTAGCGGTCGGGGCTGTTTCGGGGCAACGTGTCAACAAGGTTTTTCATTTGGTTTACTATGCTAGTAAGACCATAAATAGTGCCCAAGTCAATATACTGTTACGAAAAATGACCTCCTTGCTATTGTGTTTGCTATTGAGAAGTTTCACATGTACTTGATGGGTGCCAAAGTTATTATCCACGTGGATCATGCGGCACTTCGCTATCTTATGAGCAAGAAGGAATCTAAATCTTAGTTGATGAGATGGGTTATTTTGTTACAAGAGTTTGCCATTGACATCCAAGATAAGAAGGGAAGTGAAAATCAAGTGGCAGAACACTTGTCTCGTTTTGAGAAGGAGGGAGGACACATGATGTCCTTGAAATCAATGACTTTCCCCGATGAGCAACTTTTGGCACTTTCAACGAAAGAGGTACCGTGTTATGCTGACTTGGTAAATTTTCTTGTGAGTGGTATCATTCCGGATGAGTTATCCTCAAACCAAAGGAATAAGTCTAAATGGAATTGTTACGGCTACTTTTGGGATGATCCATACCTTTTCCATATTGCATGGATGGGGTGATTAGGGGGTGTATGCCGGTGCTATTCTTGGAGTTTATCATTCTTCGTCATATGGTGGTCATCATGGTGGAACAAGAACGACAGTTAATGTTCTAAGTTGTGTTTTGATTGGCCTACTCTCTGAAAACACTACAACAAAAAGGGGCTTTAGCGGCAATTATTAGCGGCAATAGATCAATTGCTGCTAATTTATTCGTAGAAGGAAAATATTAGCGACCAATGAATATTAATCGGTAAATATTATAGTTTTAGTGGCGATTCAAGAATATAGACGGTAAAGTTTTATTTTTTAATTTTTGTATTCCCTCCATATTCTAATTTTTCCTCTAAATTCTCTCCCGCAAAAATGTTATACCCTCTCGTACCCTCTCATACCTAGAAATTAGATTAAAGAAAACAATTCATACGGTCACCATCACTTTGCTCTCTAAATTAAATTTTTGGCCAGCATCACTTTGCTCTCTAAATCACCATCGGCAATGAAATTTCTGGCTACCATCAAAATTCTTTGTAAGTATTTCTATTTATCTTTAGGTTTTTAGTTGGGTAGGTCTATGAGTTAATGAAAATTTCTAATTTCTGGGTGTAGGGTTTTGATTGCCAAATATTTAATTCTTGAATGAGAATTTTCTTAGTATCTTTTCTAATTTGGTATTGGTGGTTTGTATAATTTTCTAGATTCAAGAATCTAATTGCTCCTTCGTGCTTGAGTTTTGACTGTATCAAAACTGCCTAAAACATGATTTTCCGAACTCTTGAGATTCCTTGTAGTTGGAGGACCATCTGAACCAGAGCGTTGTGCTTCTGTAATTTCTAAAACTAATTGTTAGGTAGTTCTCTGCTAATATTTGCATAGTGCATTTGTTGGCTCCAAAAGCTTTGAGTCGCGTTTATGAAATAATATCTTACACAGACATTAAGATTAATTAATTATGAGATTTCATGTAAAGAACCTATATTTTGGGATGATAAACTCAGGGCTCATGCCGATAGTTCTATTGTGATCACATTGATCAGTAACAAAGACGATCTAGTCGACTTGAGGGCAGTTTCAACTGAAGATGCAGTCGAATTTGCATAGAGGCAAGGGCTATTTTTTTCTGAGACATCAGCTCTTAGCGGCCACAATGTAGAGTCAGCATTCTTGAAACTATTGGAAGAAACATATAAAGTGGTGTCAAGGAAGACTTTGTTGATAGGTTCTAGTGCTCATGGAAATCACATCAAAGAAACCAATAATGGGTTGCTTAAAGGATTGAAAATTGATGTTATTTCTGGTTCTGATTTTGAGGTCAGTGAGATGAAGAAATTATGTTCTTGCTCTTGCTAATATTACTAGCTTTTGGGATGTTAAAATATATATTCGAACGAAAAGAAACTACGAAATAGATAAATATGACAAGTGTGTCAAAAATATGCTTGTAGATGGGAAGCTTGTCAAGAATTTTGCTTTATCTTAGATTATTTTGGGATGTGGAACAGTTTGCGATCAATAAGTAATATTTTACTACCTATATTAAGCACAAATCTGACAAAAATGGTCAATAACTAAAACTTTATTAAAGAAAAAGAAATGTGGGTTCAATGGAATATGAAAGAGTGACAGGGGGCAAAAAGAACTAACTGGCCTTATCCAAGAGGATAGAAATTGCAATACCAATCCTCTCCGGTGCAGATGGATAAGTAAAAATTAATGTTAATTCCACAGTGATAGTAAAAAAAGAAGAAGATGATTTTCATGGATGCCAATTCTGTCCACATGTCATATCGATCCATTAGAGAAATGTCAAGTTTTTGAAACTTTGATGTGAACTGTCTCTTCCAAGGCATTCAAATCGATTATAAAAAATAAAAACTTCCCATAGTGCTTATGTAATTTCTAAATCTGAATGTTTGGTAGTTCTCTGCTAATATCTGCATAGTGCATCTGTTGGTTCCAACAACTATTTCTAATCAGTCAAATGTCTAATTTTTTGTACTATTGCTTTAAAAGTTATTGAGACATCGCTGTTGTTTAACTCTCAATCTTTTCTTTTTATGTAGGTTTTGAGATTGTTGGTGAAATTGATCTTCTCGTTCACTTTTTTATCTTCATCGTTAAAGTATTCTGCTTAGCAGGTACCCAAAAGCCTAAGCCGATGTGTGATGTCTAACTATGGCAGTTTGTGTAATAATTTTTTGTGTCAGCTATGTTGTGATTTATGATTGAATGTTGTTACATTGACGGGCAACTGATTGAATTGATTCCTTTGTTTTTCCTAATGTTATATGTTTACTTTCGATTGTTAAAAGTTATTTATAGCATACTATACTTAAAGATAATCCTGTTAATTTAAGCATAAAGTAATTCTATTTGAATTGTGGATTTGAATGGATGTGAACTATTCGGTTTGTTAGCTTTCGAGATCTCTTTGTGTTAATGCTCTATTGATTTGACTATGTTAATTTTATCCAGATATATTTGTTACTTGGATTCTGTTATAAAAATATCGTTAGTTCTAGTTTCGCCTTTTGCACTTTAAATCACGAAAGTATTACTCAATGATTGTTGTGCTAGGTGAATGTCTTTTAAGATTTCTACTTGTTAAGAAAAAAAAATGATCAATTTTAAATCTACTCGTTTAAATATTAAACTCTCTAGCTGGAATGATAAGTTAGTTTCTGTTCGCTCACTTACCGTAAGTTAGTAATGCAAATGTTAATTTAATATGTATTTTTTTTATGTCTCACGTATCTTGTTCATAGGTTCAGTCGTTGTTTTTGAATTAAAACTAGAGTTATATTGCATGTCCAAACTACCGAATCTAAGTTAGCAGTTTAAAGTGTCTCACTTTATAAATTAGAAGTGATACTTTTGAGGAAAACTCTTATTTACTTGAATTACATGTGTAGCAAGAGAATATAAGTTTTATTTTTATAAATCCTTCTAATGCAAAGACATTATAGTTGTTAGATTCTCGTTACTAAAATCAGTTCGTTTTCTCCGTGAGTTCATCCTTGCTATTAATATGAATGAGGATTTTGCGATTTAATACTTTGTTTGAATAAATAACTCATTCAAATTTGTTAACTTAAATCAATTCAAAGGAGTTACATGCATTTGTTATTTGCATTTAGTTATGTATGATGGAATCAACCTCGATTATCTATTATATTGTCTTCTTCTTCCTCATTTCTTAATTCACTAAGAATTTCTCCTCTTTTTACTAATGTATTTTTAGCTCTTATAATAATTACAGAAAAGAAAAAAATATCTTGAATGTCATGGGCGTTCCTAGAAATAAGAGATGGATGTATTGTGACAGAGTTAATAAAGAATACTTGAATGGGGTAGAAGATTTTTTAAACCACACCTTTTCTGAAAAACAAGATGGAGAGAAAATTTTATGTCCTTGTGTGAATGTGTCCTTATCCATCAAGTAAATTGGGCTACAGCATATGATCATCTTGCGGTTAATGGTATTATATCTTCATATGATACTTGGTTTTGTCATGGGGAGTCTCTAAAGGCATCAAATAATATTCAAGTAAATAATTGCAGCGAATCAACTTTAAGGGGCGATGATATGAGAGGAATGATACATGATGTCTTTGGAGGCTTTACACAATTCATGGAGACTATGTTAGTGAAAGAGGTCAGATGGAACCAAACCTACAAGAAAATACTGCTCATCCATCTGGAAATCAACCTCATTCAGAGGTGGATAAGTTTGAACGGCTCATGAAGGGGGCTAATGAAGAACTATATCCTGGATGCAAGAAATTTTGAAAACTGTCCTTTTTGCTGCATATCTATCGTACAAAATGCATGTTCAAATGGTCAAATGAATCTTTTAATGCTTTCCTTGGACTATTGAAGGATGTGTTGCCTGAAGGGGAAATATTGCCTCCTTCTTTCTATGAGACCAAAAAGATAGTTGAAAGCTTGGGCTTAAAATATAAAAAGATTCATGCTTGTCCGAACGATTGCATGCTTTTTAGGAAAGAGTTTGCTAATAAGGATGTCAATGAGTGCAATTGTGGGGCTTCTAGATGGAAAAATAATGTTAAAAAAATTCCAGCCAAGGTTGTAAGGTATTTTCCTTTAAAGCCAAGGCTGCAAAGATTGTTTATGTCTTCAGAAACATCTAAAGCAATGTGATGGCATCATGAAGAGCGAAACAAAGATGGAGTTCTAAGACATCTTGCAGATTCTGAAGCTTGGAAGAGTTTTGATAGTAAATATCCCAAATTTGCTAGAGATCCTTGCAATATCCGCCTAGGATTAGGTTCTTATGGGTTTAATTCATTTGGTGCAATGCGAACTATTCATAGTACATGGCCAGTTATTTTAATGCCATATAATCTTCCACCATGGATATGCATGAAGCAAGAGTTCTTCATTCTGTCCTTACTTATTCCTGGACCGAAAGCGTCTGGCAGTAATATTGATGTCTTTTTGCAACCTTTAATAGAAGAGTTAAATGAATTATGTGATGTCGGGGTAGAAACATATGATGCCTCTGCTAAGAAGATATTTCAAATGTGAGAAGCTCTCACGAGAACTATAAATGATTTTCCAGCATATGGTACTCTCTCTGGATGGTGCACTTATGATCTGTTTGCATGCCCTTCTTGCAACATAAACACTCAATCTAGAAGGCTCAGACATGGCAAAAAGTTTTGTTACATGGGGCATCGACGCTTCTTGAAGTTGAGACATAAATATCGGAATGATGCAAAATCATTTGATGGGACTAAGGAAACAAGACTTGCACCTTGTCTAGTATCTGGGTCACTAGTGCTGAATCAAATTAAAGATATAAAGTTTATTGTCGGCCAGTCTAGTGAAGGGGTAAGTGGGGTGATGAAAAATACATGGAAAAAGAGGAGCATTTTTTTCAATCTTCCTTATTGGGAGTCTAACTTGGTGCGCCATAATCTTGATGTGATGCACATAGAAAAAAATGTATGTGATAACTTAATTTATACATTATTAGGTCTTGGTAAAAAATCTAAAGACAACTTAGAAGCTCGACTAGACTTGAAGGATATGAAAATAAGACCAAGCTTATGGCCTCAATATCCAGCTAGTGGGAGAGCATATCTTCCTGCTACTTTCTTCATAATGTCTCTGAAGGAAAAAGAGTTATTTTTTGAAGTACTACAAAATGCCAAGTTTCCACATGGCTATGCATCTAATATCTCACGTTGCATTCGCAAACGAAATATATCTGGGCTAAAAACTCATGATTGCCATGTTATAATGCAAGAACTTCTTTCTCTTGCCTTGCGGAGATCAATAGATAAAAGAGTCAATTCAGTTATAATTAAGCTATGCACATTCTTTCGTGCTCTGTGTAGCAAAGAGCTAAAACTAGATGAGTTAAAGTTACTTGAAGAAAAAATTTCAGAAATATTGTCTACTATGGAGAAACTCTTTCTCCCAGGATTCTTTACTATTATGGTACACTTGGTTATTCACTTGGCAGCTGAGGCTGAACATGCGGGGCCAGTACATTATCGTTGGATGTACCCAATTGAGAGGTATGCAGAATATCAGTGAATTTATATTAGATATACTTAGTTATTAAATATTATAATATCAAACTAATAACATTACTTTATTTCATATAGGTACTTGGCTACGTTAAAATCATATGTTCATAATTGTGCATGCCCAGAAGGTTCAATAGCAGAGGCATATATAGCAAATGAATGCTTGACATTTTGCTCACGATATCTGGAGGGTGGAGATTCAAGATTTTATTGCTCAAGAAAATGCGATGACGACATTGAGCATGCTACTAGTAAAGAGAAATGTCTTTTTCCTACTGTTGGGGAGTCATATGGTGGAGTAGATGTATTTGAGTTGGATGAGAAAATATGGTTGCAAGCACATCGACATGTGCTTTTCAATTGCGATTCAGAGGTGGTTGAGAATTATAAAAATTAAGTGTTATATCTACTATTGAATATATGTATGATTTATTTGATAACAAAATAATATAAGCGAGTTACATCAATAGAGAACATATAGTTGAAATCAAAAGATCACATCGTAAGCATCGTTTGACACAACATCAACTTGACCGTGTGCATTTCGATACATTTCATGAGTGGCTCAAGGAGAAAGTAAGTGATCAAATCATTGGCTACGTTAATTATTGTCCTTGTAGAAATATATACATTTATAGTTGTATCTTTCTATTTGGTTAGGTAAAGGAGCAGGAAGCCACATCTAACATCTTAAAGGATGTTAAAGTCCTTGCACAAGGGCCTAGTTTTATTGCGAAAAAATTTAATGCGTTCGATGTAAATAACGGGTATTGATTTCGAATGAAGCAAAGTGAAGAGTTTAAGGAGACACAAAATAGTGGTGTTATGGTCGTTTCAAAGACTGAAAGTTATGAAAGTACAAGTGACAATGCTCCAAAGTCTGCAAATATCAAATACTATGGCAGATTGAATGATATTGTGGAGTTAAACTACTATGAAGAATTTAAGGTTGTCTTATTTAAGTGTGATTGGGTGGATATAACCAAAGGTAGAGGAGTTAAGGAAGACGACTTGGGTTTCACACTTGTGAACTTCTCGCGCTTGACAGACTCTGGCGATCGAGAACATCATGAGCCCTTTATTTTTGCAGAACAAGCTCAACAAGTAATATTTGTGCAAGATCCTCAAGAACATGAATGGTTTGTCCCTAGGTTAATTAAACCTCGAGATATTTTTGATATGGGAGAGGAAAATAGTGATCAGTTTGAGTCATTAATGCAGAGTGATGTCACTGACTTAGCTCTCTTAGAAAATGCTCGTATTCCAGAAGATGAGTATAATGATTGGGTAAGAAGTGGAGTCGATGGGATATTAATTGATAGGAACATACAATCTCAAGATTCTCCAAATGATGGTGAAGCTATTGTTGAGGGAGGAAATGATATTGAAAATGAAAATGATAATTCTTAATAAGATAGGTGGTACTCATGAAATATTTTTTTTGCAAGCATTATTTAAGAACTTATAGGAATTTGTTTTTTTTTAATTCAGAAATTTTAATAAATAAATCTTTTTCTTTCAATTTAAGTCATTTTATAAAAGATGCTTGTTAGTCATCTCTGTATTTTCCATGTTTGTATTGGCTGATGATCGGATGTTTGAGTGAATTATTTGTGATTTTTTTACTTATATTTTGTTGGTTGTAGCCTTGTATTGAAATATGCTAAGGTTTTATTATCATTGGACAATTATTTTTTATGGTGCATCAATACCTATTTTCTCTAGAACTATCTATATCGCAAGGCATTGTTTGTATGCACGAATTTCTATCATAACTTGAGATGAGGGTGATGCTTCCTCGTGTTTTGCATGTGATAACTTAATGCAGTTAGATAATTTTTTTATCTTGGAAAAGGAACAATGCAAACTAGAGGTCGCAATCGACTGGTAATTGAACAATTGATGGATGGTCAAAATTACTTTAGAGCCCAACCATATATTGAGCAGTTGATGGATGATCAGAACTACTTTGAAGCCCAAGCACGTGATGGTCAATCTAATGAGTCGAATCGTTCTGCTGGTGGCAATGAGATTCAACATAATGAGGATTCAGGTAATACTTTTTTAGTATGCAATCTGTTGTTTTTTTAGTATTGCAATAGTATGTGGTTTTATCATTCAATTTTATTGCCTCTGTGTAGTATCTCACGGCTTTGTTCCACTGCTTGCCCTTATATGCAACATATCCCTATACAGAACACCATGATAAATTAGAAGCACATACTAATGAAAGAACCCATAACTTTCAGAAGGTAGTAAAGTAAATATGAATAACTATTAGGCACAACATTATTAGCATTTCTCTATTTTTAGCATACCTTTAATTTTATAAACCAATTGGAAGTGAGTTAGTTATGTGTTCCCTTGGACACCAGAGGCTTATAGCACACCATTCAAGCATTATGGAGTTGTTGTTGTTCATAGAGATGTAATCTATTAATTGTTGAATTGCTCATATTACTGAAATCATATTATTGAAATCAACAATCATATCTTTGGTGAAATTTTGAATGTTCCCAACAATCAATGAAGTTGTCACTTTTATAATTCACACTTTTAGTGGTGAAGTTGTCACATTCTGCTTTAATGAAGTTTGAGGCTAACCAAGTTTGTACGAAAAATAATTTTGGCAGGTGCATGGTTCTTATTTCGTCATCTATGGAAATTGAACGTTGTTGTTTTTTTGGTTATTCTGACATTTACAGTAATATTCATGATTTACTAGTCTCTTCCGGTAGCGTAATGCTAACGTAGATTGACTGTGGATTCTTTAAATCACCAGATGATTCAGATATTTTTCATTCTAGGTAATTCGGAAGCAAGAAAGGTTCGTGGGCCTACTTTACTAAAAGATATTTGAAAACTTCCGCCGAGAAAGACAATTGATGTACCATTCAATAATCGTAACCAAGCTATTGGAAAAGAGGGTCGTAAGCTTGCTAGCTTTCTAGGAATTATTGCCAGAACTCCAGAACTCCAGAACTAACACCTCTACATGTAGATGATTGGAGAAATTTTAACAAGGAGAAAAAGAAGAAATTGGTGGATTTTATGAGGGTATGGAGTAGTTATTATCATTATTATTATGTGAAAAAGCTCAATCTTTGATGCATGATGTTATCTTCTAAATGTTGGCTTTTATATTTTCAGAAGAAGTTCTCTATCCCAAAACGTGGAGAAGCATGGATCTTAAAGTCACTAGAAAAGAAATGGAAAGATTACAAGTGCGATTTAAAGGCTGAGTATGCGCAAAAATATAAGACTAAAGACACTTTGCTAAAAAATAGACCAAGTCGCATACCGAGGGATCAAGGGAGTGGTCTTGTCTCTTATTGGCTTTCTGATAAAGCTAAGGTATCAACCTTCAAAACACTCCTAGTCTGCTTATTTTTATAGCGTTTTGATTTTAGTTATGTTCAATTTTTTTTTGTAATTTGTAAGATGTCATTTAATATTTCAATGACAGAGACGTACACAAGCAAATAGAAATAATAGGGCTAAGCAAATGAGACCTCATAAAGGAGGATTCAAAAGTATTGCTACCTTGATGAATGAGCTGGTAAACTTGTGAAAATTACAAACTATAATATTTTAAATATTTTTTCACGCATATCTGATATCGTATTTATTGTATTAGGCTGTAAATGGTATTGAGCCTACACGAGCAGAAATTTTCTTATTAACTCATAAAAACGTAAGGATGGTCGGCCATTGGATGATGATTCTGTCAAGACGATCGTAAGATTTACTCTTTTCCATTGGATGATGATTCTGTCAAGACGATCGTAAGATTTACTCTTTTCCATTGGATGATGATTTTGTCAAGACGATCGTAAGATTTACTCTTTCTTTTATTTTGTTGGTTTGATGACTCCGTCAAACAATGTGCATTTTTTCTTGTTCATGCATTCCAAAATTGATTTGTTGTATATTCCATGGTCAGGAAATGATAAATGAAAGGATGAGCAATAATGAGAGATCTACTGAGCAACCTCCTCATAGTGTTGCTTGGGAAGGCGATGTGTATTCACAGGTGTTGGGAAATGAAAAAGTGGGTATGTTCGTGGTTTAGGACTTGGTCCAACTCCTTCTGTTCTATGGGGTAGTAGGTCTTCCTTAGGAAATATTATTGCAGATGATTCTTCTAATGAGGTTATACAAAGGTTAGAACAGAAGATAATCGAGTTAAAGGAGAAACAAAATAAAGAAATGAATATGATGAAACAAAATCAGGAGATGATGCAATCAAAATTACTCGAAATGAGATAACTCATGCGCAAATATGCTCTTGATGCATCTATGCCTCAAAGTAGCAATGGCACCTCAGGTGAACAGGTAACTCCATTTCATAAGCTTTAGACATTTTTAATGAAATTCTAATAATATAAAAGTATTGTTATCTAACATGTTAATATTTATTAGATCCCTGATGCTAATAGTGGACATGAACGAGTACCACAAACATCAAGGATGCCTAGTGTTGCTGAAAATGCTCAACCTTCTCATGGTACTACTCTTCTTTGTCCTTCGTCGCTATTGTTTTTCCAGTTTTCGTGTGCGATCTATGCTTGTTCTCTTGATATCCCATCATATTCCCAGTAGCATATTGTCCAAGATTGCAGTTGTAGCTTTTCTTTCTCTCCTTGTGGTATCAAAATTGTCCAGAAACCTCATTGCTTCTTGTGTCTAGTAGAAGTGCACATAGTTGATCATGCACAGTTTGTTGTGAAACTCTTGTGAATTCCAACAATAGGTTGATGTGTCCTTTGTGTGGCACCATAGTAGGTATGTAGAATGACTGAAGTGCGTTAGGATGAGATACCTCAATGCCTTCATAATTCCCTTATTTTGTTGCCAAAGCAGTGCTAAATGCCGAGGCCCACGATATTCACCGAAAAATTGCGCCCATCCCTTACTGCTTATATTGATTTGCATATCTTCTAAAATATCTTCTTCAAGAGACCTGCAAGATGAAAATTAAAAGTGAAATCATAGTGATGAAATATACTTTAACCTCCTGTGGTTCCTTCAGCTCACCTTTGTTTCCCAGAATATTAGTGACTTCAATGATATGCTGCTAATTGGCAGCACCATTGTTTCCCAGAATCAACAAAACTACATAAGAGAACTGTACTCAATCTAATGGATTTCCAGTAATGTCCACTAATGTACTAATTCTGATCACATTCAAGTTATAGGGTCAAATATGTATTTTAGAAGGTTAGACTATGTTACTAAAGTTAAGATTAGAGACAACTCAGCCTAAAATCAACCGCATAAAGTAAAAGACTAAGAATTACCAGTGCAATCTTTTCCAAATTTTCTTCTACTTTTTTTGTTATTATTGCACTAGGTAAAATTGTTACCATTGAAACGTACATCCATTAGCATACAATCATCGATGCAAGAAATAAAAGGAAGGTTC